GGCCCGCTTTCCTCGGCAGAGCAAAAAAACCATTTAAGTGAAGTGACAAAGTAATCAAGAGGAGCCGCGGTGAACAAGGGCGGCCGCACGGTTCAGCGCGCCGGCGGAGAGACGCATTAAGACAAGTTAAGCATAGAGACATTGTTCTCACCCCCACCCCGCCTCTCACCCTCTCCCTCCCCCCTCTCCATCTCTCTCCATCTCTCTCTCTCTCTCTCTCTCTCTCTCTCTCTCTCTCTCTCTCTCTCTCTCTCTCTCTCTCTCTCTCTCACTCACTTCTTTACGCAGTGTGTTTTTGTTGCCCTATCTCTCCCTCTCTTTTCTCAACCCTCTCTCACCTCTTCTTCTCCCCCCCCCGCCCCCCCCCGTCTGTCTCCCCCACCTCGCGCCGCGGGTCGTGTGTGTGAGGCGCGTGTGACGGACTTGCTGAGACAGAATTTTGAGATGGCTGTGTAATTAAAAAGGACAATATGCTAACACTGCAGTTGGTGTGTGTGTGTGTGTGTGTGGTGTTTAATGCAGTTTACTTTTGCACAATATCACTCCAAAACACTTGCAACCCAAGAAATGTGCCTTTTAATTGCCCCTTCAATCCATCTTTGCGCAAGGAATTGCCCAACCCCAAAAGTGTGTGTGTGTGTGTGTGTGTGTGTGTGTGTGTGCGTGCGTGCGTGTGAGTAATTGTGAACGTGTAATTGAAAGGATGAGTCGAGTCAACTCTTGAAATAATAGTCAGCAAAATCAATGATGCATACTTAATTGATTAACTCATTTATGTCGCTCGCTCTGTAGTCAGAAAGGCGTGTCTCTGGAGCGCATTGATTTCTCACATCACAATTATCTCGGAGTTAAGTGACATTGACCTTTCCCGTCTCGTCCGTACGAGGCCGTCCATCTGCAGACCGACCCGGGGGTAGCGTCTGACTAGGGGTCAGAGGTCACGGGAGGTCCAGGGGAGGGGGGGAGGGGATGTGGGGGGGGCAGGGACCAGGTGCGGGACTCTGTGATTGGCCACTGATAAGGTTGTCATGGGGAGGGGAGGGAGGGGGTAGCCAGCAGGTGGGGCTCTGTGATTGGCCACTGATAAGGTTGTCATGGTGAGGGCTACCTCCCCCCCCCCACTGAAAGTTATCTGATGGACTCAACATGGCAATAGGCGAACCAAGCTACTAAACCCAGCTAGCTATGGATGCTAACACGCTGACCATGCTAACAGGCAAACCAAGCTACCTTATGCTAAACCCATGCAGCACTGGTATGGATTGAGTGAATTGAGAGAGAGAGAGAGAGAGAGAGAGAGAGAGGGAGAGAGGGAGAGAGAGAGAGAGAGAGAGAGAGAGAGAGAGGAGAAATATTGTTGTTGCCTCTCATTTGTCTTGTTCTCTGCGGTCGGCCGGGGAGAGCAGCCCCCCCCCCCCCCCCCCCCCCCCCCGTCGACCACATCCTCCGCGGTGGGGAGGTGGCGGCTGACGTATCCCAGAGACACGCCACCGAGCCTGGGCACCGGCTGGGAGACAGCCGACCCCCGTCTGGTAGCCAGGGAGAGAGGGGGGGGTTACTTGGTCTGGCTTTAATTCTTCTGTCAGGACAGGTGGTCGTGTGTGTGTGTGTGTGTGTGCGTGCGTGCGTGTGTGTGTGTGGAGCTGACCCAGTGTGACGACCATGTGAAGGTCAAGAAGCCCCCTGTGCACCCTGGGAAAGATTCGGGGCAGAATAGACGGCGTACGGGCCGACTCTGTCAGCGCGCTGCCGCGGCGCCCATTGTTAGTGTTTCCTGTAAGGCGATATCAGTGTTGACTCGGGCCGGCTGCTGAGCGACGCGGACCGCGAGGCCGGCTGCTGAGCGACGCGGACCGTAAGGCCGGCGCTGTTCTCGGGTCGGCCGCTCGGACCGCACTGAGGAGTCAAAGCTGTCCAGTGGCTTCAGTGGAAGAGCAGAACTTCATGATTCATAGCTCTGCAAATGAAAACTAGTGAAATGAAAACCTAATATATTTGCTGTTGGTTTAAGCGGGTATATCATTTTTTGTATATATATAGGCTACTTATAATATAATATACTTAAAATATTCTGCATGAATCATATAATACTCATTTCATAGTATACAGTTGGCTTACAGGTTGCAGTGTGTGTATTATATATAGCGTATTCCTTTGTGTGTGTAGGGGTGACGAATTTTAGTGCTTTTTTTTATAAGCTGGGTTTTGGGGTCACCTGGGAAAGTTATGGTGTGTCGTGGATGAATTGCGTTCGTCGTCAATAAGGGGATAACCTCAGCGGCTCAATCCTTAACAGATGTCCAGAAGTGGAACGGTCATTTAAATCTATGGGTGAAAAATACTGCGATAGTCTTTTGCTATTTAAATTCTCAACTGAAATAAAAAAGGTTATTTTTCAAAATGGGCTTTTCCATCAACCACATGTGGACCTTCATTTTGCTGAAGAGATAATTTCTTTGGGCCCCTGTGGCATATCATTATTTTCCAGACACATTTTTTTCTGCTTTGTGAAGTTTTCAGACGAATCAGTTTCTTAAAGACGACACTACGCTGTACGTCAGCTGCTCTCCGATGTCAAACTCCTCGAGAACAAGTTTAACAAAAACACTCATTTACCAGCAAACCAACAGATTGTGGCAGACTTATTGTGACCAAGGTTATACGTCAAAGATGCACTTAATTTGTGCCGCTGGGTCAACTGAAATATGATCGCAGTTCAGTGAGAATCCACAAGTATGTGGGCTACTTGGTGATACACAGCGGCACCATGGCACTGTATCGCTATTCAGCTCAGGCACTGTGACTCTCATATTACCATCGTTTTAATCTGCTGCTGCTCAGAAAGTACACCACCGGTCTATAATGTTTAGTCATCATTGCAATTTGTGATTTTTTATTGACACGAATCAAAAAGGCATAATAAAATCTTGATTGTTCAGTATAAAAACATTCATGAATACCGGTATAAAGGAGTCCAACTGAGGGAAGGTGAGAGATATGTTGTAGCGGACTAGTCTGGCAGCGCTCCCATGTCCCCCTAGTCCTGTCTGGCGCTGCAAGACTAACACCTCCCTGACCCCTGACCCCTCTTGGCAAACGGCACCAGATGACACGCCCCCCGGGGAGAGAACAACATGGAAAGAGTGACGTGTTCAGATTAGCTCCCTTGTTCCCTCATTGCCTATTCCCTAGGCCTATATAGCCATAGTACACTATTTAGTGAACAAGTATAGGGGGAATTCGGACACTAATTATGCGAAGGGAAATCTATCGTCGTGACACGTATCGGTTGAATAAATAAGCGCCCCCTGTGATAGCTCATTTACATGAAGATCATTTGCATAAAGTCATGCCTTATGTTATGAACCCCCCCCCCCCCCCCCCCCAGGCATCATGGATAACATGCTATGAGCTGTTCGGAGACACAACCACACTTTTTCTAACTTTTTCTTTCATATTTTGCTGACCAAATGACTATATATATATATATATATATATATATATATATATATATATATATATATATATATATATATATATAGTATACACAAATAAAAACTTGAAGGTCTTGATTAAATAGCTGTATGGATCAATTTTTTATAATGGCTGGAAGAAATTATTGAGGAGACTGCCAGAGCTCGTTCTCTCTCTCTGTCTGTCTCTCTCTCTCGCTATCTTTCTCTCTGTCTCCCTCTCCCCCTCTCTTCATCTCTCTCTCTCTTGTTCTCCCTCTCTGTCTCTCCATCTCTCCCCTCTCTGTCTCTCCCTTGTTCTTTATCTACTGTGTGTGTGAGTGTGTCTCTCTCACTCTCTCTTCTCTCTCTATCCCTCCCTGTTTTTCTCTCACTGCCTGGCTTGCATAACACACACACACACATACAGACACACACACACACCCATCTTGCTGGGCGAGTACACTACTAAAAGAGCAGCCAGGCGTAGCTGCCTAACTGAATTAGTAAGCACAGTAATAATGTCTTGTGCAGGTTCTTATCTTGCAGCCGGGACGTTATTAGGACAAAGAGCGAGAGCGCTCCTTTGCCTGTCACATCTCAATGTAATTTACTGAAGATAATGGCTTCCAGATGATTGTAATAATTAAATACAAGCCTATATTTAATTAAGGAAGGTGGATAAGATTAAACAGACTAAAATAAGGTTGTTGTTTTTTTGTTTTAGATAATTGTCTTTTTAAAAACGTATATAGTGTCGAAATGCATTGAATCTATATGATGTAGGAAAAGACGCTCAAGTCTCATAGTTGCTCCAAAAACTCCATAAGCCAACTAACAGCAGCGATGGATTGAGTGGAGCCAGAGGCTAGGAGACGCTTTCATGCCTTCAAAAATAGACATTAAGAATCCATACTGCGTAATTTTTCTTTATCACTGCCACAGTGATGGATCTTTCTATTTCTGTCCGGCAATTTCTCATCAAATGAATGCCCCAGCCTCGTCCCTGCCAGCGAAGTCGGTCGGCCAGGAAAAGACCGTTCTTCTGGATTCAGTCAATGGTGTTCGTTAACTTTTGTTTAATTAACATTTGCGTCATTATTCATTTTGACAAAAATTAATTCACTCTTTCATGACAATTTTTCATTATGACTTTTTCTTTTGCTGTTCTACTATTGTTAAATGTCCAGAATATGTCTTTGAACACGCTCTACAGCAATGTAGGCTACAGTGCAGAACATCTGAATGTGTGTAGTATTTGCGTTTGAGGGCATTTCAAGATGTGTATACGATTCAATATACAATTAAAATGAATTTAATTTAACCTATATCTTAATATGTCCTTATCACATACTTTCAGATTAAAAACATTCAAAAGAATGAGGAACAAATAACCTCAAGGCAAGGGAAAGATAAAACTTTATTGTTCGTTCACACGAAAATGTGTCATGCATCCCATGCTCCCATCAACAACACAGAAGACCATGTGACATAACAGAACATGATGAGCAGGTGAGGGGTGAGGGGGCGTCCGCCTACAGCTCAGACTGCGGACACTGGGGTTCGAACCCGGAACCTTTCGTCTGGGAGTCGAACACCCCTGACCACCGCTAGACCGCCCTGCCCTGCACAACATGCAGTACATTATCCAGTCTAATGTTAGTGTACGTCATCCTGACAGGACAGAGTGAGGGGTGAGACAGAGCTATCTGGGAGGTAATGACTGCGATGGGACAATAATTCATTAATTCATCTTCCCTCAGTCATATTCTCAGGATCTGTGTGTAGGGTCTCCCGAACAACACAGTGATCTTTACTCTGCCATTTTAATTGAGTCTGACATAAAACACTGCTTGCATGCGATATGGAATTGGATTACTTCTGCATATTTAATATAGAAAAGGCCATCTTTGATCCACCAAATTAAAAACTCTAATTACGTAGAAGGTCATTGAACGACTGGTTATTTCCTCCAAAGCTCTGTTTTACAACAGAAGAGAGGAGTGTAGGACGCAAGGACACAGAGTAAAGTCGGATAAAGACCATTGTAAAAAGTAAAAAAATAAATTCATAAATGTCTAAATGTCATGTACGCCTGTTACAACCTTTACCTCACTCCTTTGTCCCAAAATACATTTCTGGATTGTAAAATGAAAGGGTGTTGTATTTAATTTGGGGGTTCAAACACTAACCACTAGTGTAGTGGTTAGTGGTTAGTGTGTGTTTGACTACCAGCTGAAAGGTTCTGGGTTCGAACTCCAATCTCTGCAATGTTTGTCTATACCTGTAGTCATCCTTGAGCAGGAAGCCCTTACCTCTTACTGGCGTGTATCTAATAAGAGAAGACTTTTTATAATCCTGAAGGAAATCACAGTGCGAGCAGCTCAAGCGTTACAGACAAACAAATAATACAAACTAAATAAAAATTGCAGGACGCATACATATAATACGCAATACGAATCAAAGTAAAACTAGAATAAGGACATGAGATAAATAACAATATTAGGAATACTAAAAATACTAAAATAGGGCAGAGCGGGGCACAACCGAAGGTGGGGCACAAATTAACATGGACTTATTAGGTGGTTGCAGAGCTATATGTACGGATGCGTAACGCAGTCACTTGAGAAAAACATGTTTGCCCGTGTTTTTCTGAATTAACGAGAAACCTCAAAATCCTGCCAGACACTCTCACCTGGCCTATGGTTTGTGTTGCTAATCAGCCTGACTCTCCAAACTATGTCCTAACTTGTAACTTAAAATCACATAGCACTGTGCTCCATGCAGGTGAGGGCCGTCTCACAGGAGTTTGAGGTATCCAACTATAAATGGAGGAGTCTCTGTATGGCTGGCCTTCGATTTCCTCAACAACCGTCCATCCGATCGACACTTGGCAGCCATATTGCTGAGGACCCAAGGAAGTGCAGCGTCTCATTAATTCAGAAAAACAAATACAATACTACACAATACACAATACCGGTCGGTCACTTTGGATGCAGGCCTCCGTTCATCACTCAGTCGAGAAGACGGCACGGACACATCACTCGTCTCACCGGCTGCTGCCATTTTATCAGGATGGATGCGACTGTCACGACACATGATGGAGGGTCTGGTCGGAGGCCGGGTGGTGGCTGGTAATCTAATAGAGATGATCCTCTCTCACTCACGTCAGTGCCAGGTGCGTGTTGTAGCCCCTAGGACTCCCTGGATGGTGTCATATCCAGGGCCAGTTCAGGAGAACGGTGCACTATAGCCTCCTCTATCTCCCGCCCTGGGGGTTGGCGAACGCAGACTGCTTGGTGGTTAAAACTAGCCGTCCTAATTCATTTAATTCATTCAGTCACATTGTGTTTTACTGCTGCACAACCAATTGCCCGTCTGGGGACAAATAAAGTTCTACTTGACTTGACTTGATTTTGCATTCTCAACTCGCGTACAGACAAAGGTCAATATGCCTGCTGCCCGTTCACGTGAAACATAATTTATCAAACCCATTTTTATAGTCTTAGTTTGTGGGCGGATTATCATAAACCTGTTATGCAATATTTGTCATATTGCAGACACGGTATTTGTTATAAGTTTATTTTTAAGTTAGTGATGGGTGACTGCTGCCCCTGGGCCACCCCTACCTACTGCATTAGCCGCCGCCTGGGTGCCCTGATTCAAACCACCGAGTTGTGTTGGTGTGTGTGTGTGTGTGTGTGTGTGTGTGTGTGTGTGTGTGTGTGTGTGTGTGTGTGTGTGTGTGTGTGTGTGTGTATTCACCCAGATATGAGCACGTCTGCCATCAGACTTGAGATGTTAATCTAAAGTCTAATTTGTGAGAGGGTGGCGGTGATACAGGGTTAATGTCATGTGTGACCGAGCAGAACTCTCTTCATTATTCTGCTGGCGACGGGCCACACACTGACCACCCCTCACACACGACTGTACCACGCACACACACACGCACATGCACACGCACACGCACACACAACCCTCTCTCTGTCTGTTCAATTCAAAGGTCTCTACTGGCATGGGAAATGTACATTTACATTGCGAAACAATTTAAAAGTGTATATCCATCCGTGTCTGTCTGTCTGTCTGTCTGTCTGTCTGTCTGTCCATGGAGGGACATTCAGAGCATTCCTCCATCAGTGTCTCCTTCCCTCTTTCCTTCACAGTCGGTCTTGTTTCATCATCGTCTCTCTCTCAGGTGTCCTCACCTCGCCTCTTTTCAGCCGCCATCCGTCTGTTGCCATGGTTTCCCTGGTGCGTTCCATCCTCAAGGTGTCCACCTATCGGAGACCCAGACTTCTCCCCTTTGTTCGAAATACCCCCCTCTCTGTCTGTCTCTGTGTCTGTGTCTGTCTCTGTGTGTCTATCTATCTGCCTGCCTGCCTGCCTGCCTGCCTGCCTGCCATTCCATTCCATCCATGGCCATGTTCTGGCAGCTCGGCCCACTTCACAATAAGAGTACCCTATAAGAGTCCCCTATAAGTGTCCCCTACATACGCGGTGGAATATTTTCGATAATAACACAGGAGGGTACTCTTCAAAGCCCCTGCAAAGGCCAGCTCAACGGCGGTTTATACTTCTCATGTGTGTAATATGACTGTGATGTGAGAGAGAGAGAAGGGCAGAGATAAAGAGAGGGTGAAAGAGAGGGAGAGCAAGGGGGGAGAGAGAGCGGGGGAGACTTTTTTCCCCCCCCATTTTTCATTTCACTCTTCCTTGCGGATGAAAAGGAGTCAGATAGTCCGGGGGCTCGTTGTGATTCGCTACACATCTACCTGCCCCTCTGCCAATCACGACGCACGGATAAACAACAGCAGAATCATTATGCATTACGGCAATAATGGGTATTAAGAGAGAATCCTCTCTCTCTCTCTCTCTCTCTCTCTGTGTCACATTGTCTTTAGCTGTCAAGGTGTAACCAAGCGTACAGGAGAAACTGAAAAGAAAACAAACAAACAGCCAAACCATCTTTTTAATCGTAAGGCTGAGTGGTTTAGACATGAGGGGAGGGGAAGGTGGAGAAGAGTACGTAACCTCACACACACACACACACACACACACGCACACACTCACAAGCACATGCATATTCATGACTATAATTAAACATAATCACAACACAAGAGTCACAAACACTGTGTTTTACTCGTCACAGCATCAGATGGTTTTATTTTTTCGTGTCTATCCGATAGATGCTCTCAGACGCTCTCTCCTTATGAAACACCCTTCATCACAAGTAGTCATCGTCATAAAGTAGCAGTAATCTACCAATCAAACGCCCTCACCTGCTGCACTGAGCCCTGAGGACGCCGCCGCCGCTAGCGCTGGAGGAGCTGCGACGCCGACACGCTTTATATGCCTAAGATCTTAAAGTAAGTGTTATGCTATTAAGGGCACAGCAATTTATTCGGTCTTACCTTCAGCGTCGGCAGGGATTAGGCGCCGCATCTGTGGCGCCCTCTCCTTTACGAGGGAGACGTCGACGCAAACACTGTTTGACTTTGACTTCGCCTCGCGTCTTGCTCAGGGATCAGCGAGACTCCCAGCGAGACGCCCAAAAAGACGCCCGAAAATGTCGAAGGCAAACTGTGTTTCCGCAACCCGCGACAACAGCCTTAGTTTGACTGTTGGGCGGACGCCCGCCTCCCACCGGGGTCCTTCGCCAGCGACGGGGCGGCAGGTAAACACCCTCCAGGGAGAGACCTTGAGATGAGGCGTCCTGTTGTTCATGATGGATAGCAACACCCCTTGCCGCTCCATGGGGGGTGGGGTGGGGGGGGGGGGGGTGTAGGGTGTAGAGGGTGATGAATAAACCGTTCACAACATAATGGAGATGAAACCAGATCGCCAGAAATAAGGGGACACCAGGAGAAGTGCGTTTAGATATGTAGATATACCCTCTATCGCCCTTCTCACTTGAGGCTACTTTGAATATACATATTTGCTGGCAGTTGCGTTAGAATCTCTGGTCGTGATTGACAAGGACATACTGTGTCGTCGCGAATGAATAAAACATTTCCCGCACTCAATTATGGTCATGTGCCGTTTACTAAGGGCCAGAGTTTCCACTGGGGAAGCTCATTATACTAAACAGTTGCCCCACCTCCCCTCCGCAAGCAAACTCTGCTACTGGATGAGACACAACCACCACATATTTCCACTGATTTTCATGAATTAACCCGTGAACCTGCATTCAAACGGTGCGTTCTACAGTAGTCAAGGGTGAACAAGGTCATGGTCTATGTTGTGCTGGTTCTTTCCAGGTTTAAATCCATCAGAGTAATGAAACACCAGCAGCTGGAAGCTGGAAGTGGTCCGTCGACGTATCCAACAGCTGGCTGGTTTACTCCCCCCCCCCGTCTACCTGATCTCTCAGACTATATTCTGCCTTTGATCTGCAGTCCAAACTAAAGGGCTTAAAGGAGAAGCAAACCCCCTCACTTGAGACGCGGTGTGACACCGTACGCGACGCTGGGTCAGGCGTTGTTTTCGCACAGCGAACACACACGAAATCGCCCACAGCTTAAAATATTCTGTCCTTTTGGACTGGACTTCAGATCCATTGGTTGGTGCGTTATGTCATGTGGCGCCGGGTCAAAGTTGAAATAATTTCGACTCGCAATAG